AATATTATAGGAGCTGTGGCCTTTTTGGTTAATTTTGTCACAGGTGGGTAGGAACCTCTCTAAAAACAAAACTATGGAAAAATGTGCTTTTACTCTTTAATATGAACCAATAAAAAACATACTGAAGCATTTTTCTGCCTAAAAAACCTTTTGAAATCATTCAGCCTCTCAGCTGTTTTTACACCTTTCAAATTCTATTTGCATTGGCTCAGAAGTGCCCATCCCCCCTTGTTTGGTCTTATTCGACAGGGCAAAATCCTGTCTTTCAAGCTAGAATGATTGACAGAGGCAGTAAACAGCAGTGTTTTCTCTGATTGAAAGAATTGCATCATGGGTTTTTCACTTGGGTATGCTTGCTGTCTTCACCCAGGCCTCATGGAGTGAAAACTTAAATGGATCTTTGCAGAGGGACCTCCATTTTTTAGCCAGAAAGCTAACAAATACAAGCATACCTGCTGACACAACCACTTATGCAGCAGGAAGAAGAGAAATTGATGAAATGCGGAGAGAAGTGCTGCGAATAGTTGTTCTATTGCCTGCAATGGACTTCTCATGACGATATACATAACATGGAATACTTTGATCTGTGGACTCTTAGGTACACAGGAATAAAAATGATCAAGGAATGGACTTCTAGACCTCCTCAAAGGTAGGGAGTCACCACCGCTTCACTGGTTTTGCTGGTGTATGATGTTGTAGCGTGAATACCACAATTTAGAATTTAAGATTAGATAAGATATTCCTTTATTAGTCCCACAGTGGGGAAATTTCCAGCATCACAGCAGCAAAGTGGACAGTACAAAGAAACACACACTGTGGGTGCAGCAGCCTGTTACTGAAGGAGCTGCTCAGTGCTGTCAGAGTGTCCTGCATGGGGTGGGAGATGTTGTCCAACAGGGATGATAGGTTAGCCATCATCCTCGTGTTGCCCACTACCTCCACTGGGTCCAGGGGGCATCCCAAACAGAGCTGGGCTTTTTGATCAGTCTGTTGAGAATTTCCTGTCAGCAGTGGAGATACTGCTGCCCCAGCAGACCACACCAAAGAAAATGGCTGATGCCACCACAGAGTCATAGAAGGTCCTCAGGAGTGAGCCCTGCACTCCAAAAGACCTGAGTCTCTGCAGCAGATGCAGCCTGCTCTGTCCTTTTTTTACAGTGCATAAGTGTTGTCAGTCCAGTCCAGTGTATTGTTCATGTGAACACCCAGGTACTTGTAAGAGTCCACTATTCAATGTCCATTCCCTTGATGTTCACCGGTGTGGGAGGAGTGTTTTTCTGTCTGCGGAAGTCCACCAGCAGCTCTTTGGTCTTCCCAGCATTGATCTGGAGGCAGTTCCACTGACACCAAACACTGACCAAGTCCTGGGTCAGTTCTCTGCACTCCCTTTCGTCCCCATCAGTGATGAGGCCGACAATGGCGGAGTCGTCAGAGAACTTTGGTAGTCAGTGGAGTTGTAGGAGAATTCTTCAGTGTAGAGGGTGAAGAGGAGCGGAGCCAGAACTGTTCCCTGTGGGGCTTCTGTACTGCAGACAACTCTGTCAAACACACAGTCCTGGATCCTCACATACTGCAGTCGGGTGTTGAGTTAGTTGAGGATCCATGTGGTGAGATGACGGTCCACTCCTGTGCACTCCAACTTGTCCCTCAGGAGCATGGGCTGGATGGTGTTGAAAGGACTGGAGAAATCAAAGAACATGATTGTCACAGTGCTCCCAGCCTTTTCCAGGTGGGAGAGGGATTGCTGCAGGAGGTAGATGACAGTGTCATCTGCTCCAATGCCAGGCTGATAAGCAAACTGAAGTGGGTCCATCGATGGGCTCACCAGGGCCGAAGATGGTCAAGGACCAGCCGCTCCAGGGTCTTCATCAGGTGGGATGTCGTTGCCACCGGCCTATAGCTGTTGAGATCCTTGGGGTGCAGAGTCTTCAGACCAGTACCGCACAGGAAGTTTTCTACAGCTGTGGCACCCTCCCCAGCTTCAGGCTCCGGTTAAAGATGTGCTCCACTATCCTGCACAGTTGATCAGTGCAGGACTTGAGGAGCCGTGAACTGATGCAATCAGGACCGGTAGCATTTCTTGCATTGATCATCCTGAGTTCTTTCCTCACCTGGCTTGTTGTGAGGGACAGGTTGGAGCCAGATGACTGTGTGCTGGAGGTTGGGGATGAGGGATTCCCCCATCCAGATGACTGATCAAATCTATTGAAGAAGAGAATTAGGTCATTCGCCCACCTCCTGCCCTCCGCAGGCTGGGAATTGGGTTCCTTGTAGCCTGAGATGGTTCGAAGGCCCCTCCAGACTCCGCTGATGTTGTTCAGCTGCAGCTGGTTCTCCATCCTCCTCCTGTAGCTGTTCTCCCCCCCTCCTTAGCATTATCCTCAGCTCCCTCTGCACTTCCTTCAGCTCCTCCTTATTTCCCAACCTGAAGGCTCTCTTCTTTTGTTTGAGGAGGACCTTGATGTTGGGAGTGATCCAGGGTTTATCGTTTTAAAAACACTGTACAGTCCTGGTGGGTACGGCATTTTCCACACAGAAGTTTATGTAGTCCATAATGCAGTGTGCCAGACTGTCAGTATCCTCTCCGTAGTGACCACAAAGCACTTCCCACACGGTTGAATCAAAGCAGTCCTTTGAAGCCTGTTCAGCCTCATCAGACCATCTCTTGACTGTGCGAGTGACTGCTGGCTGCCTGTGTACAAGAGGTTCGTACAGAGGGAGGAGGTGAACCAGGTTGTGGTCTGATCTTCTCAGGGGAGGGAAAGGTGTTGAGTTGAATGCCTCCTTTGAGTTGGCATAGAGAAGAGTAGGTCCAGTGCTTTATTGTCTCTGGTGGGGCAAGTGACATACTAGGTGAATGTGGGTAGAGTGGAGTCCAGAGAGGCATGATTGAAGTCACCAGAGATGAGGAAGAGGGCATGAGGGTGCTCTTGTTGAAAAGGGGGGCACCAGCCCTCAGACGGGACAACACTGAATTACTGTATTTCTTTGATTTATGTGATCAGTCTCATATCAAAAGCTGTGACTTCTTGATTCAATGGATCTCCAGTCTTTACTTCAAAAGAACACAACAGGAAAACGACTGAGTGTAAATAAAAGTTTATTATCTAGACAATTATCTACAGAGTTCAAGCATCTCGGGGTGTTGTGTACAAGTGAGAGTAGGATGGAGCGGGAAATTGACAGGATGGATTGGGGCAGCATCAGCAGTAATGCAGACGTTGTACCAGACTGTTGTGGTGAAGAGGGAGCTGAGCTGGAAAGCAAAGCTCTCAATTTACCAGTTGGTCTTTGTTCCATCCCTCACAAATGGTCATGATGGTCAAAATGCGCTGGGTAGTGACTGAAAAAATGAGATCGCGGGTACAAGCAGCCAACTGAAGCTTCATGTCATGAATCCACTAGATGTTGGAAGCTTTCCTCTGAGACTCATGTTGACATGATTGCATCACATAACTGAAGTTCACTGAACTCATTTCATGTAACAAGTTTGAGACGACTTTTGCTTTGTGAAATGGAGCATTGATTGTGCTTGGAGTGGCCAATAGAAGATGGTAAACTGTGGCCATAAAGGCTAAATTTCTCTGGTGAGCCTATGCCCAGTATAGCCTCAGATTCCTGTTCTCTATCATATCAAGACATAAAACATAAACATAAACATAAACATAAACCATGTTGTATGTACAGTGACTGATCCCAGTGGGGGCAGCTAACGTGGACACTCTTTCAGACACATCATCTGTGGTGACCACACACTGATTAGCAACACATGATTATATCACCACCACACAAGCGTGGCCTCTTTGATTCCTTGATTTCCATGGTCAAGCAGTTAGATGAATTAGATGTATGCTTACATTTAAGTTGTCAGTGGGTCAGCGTTTGTGTTTGACATAAGTGGGTGTAGTGGCTTCAGGTCACCTGTGGGTCTGAGTCCTAAAGAAGAGACCAATCAACAAAAAGCATCTCCATTTTTATATCCACTGTGCATAACAATCAATAACAATCAACACCTGTGATTGTGATTATAATGATGACAGCTGCTGATAGCATGTCAAGGTAAACAATACTGCCAATGCCTCAGAGTATGAATCTGGTAATTTGATGATAATTTGATTTGCCATAATTTGATCTGCCTAATGAAACTTTTTGACCATTAAGATGCTGACAGTGGTTAACAGCTAGTAACTTAACAAACATGTGATGAAGCAGCTGGTACAAACGCTGGATGATGGAGAAAACAAAGAAAACAAAGAAAGCTCAGTAACTAATGAGATATGAGGCTTAACAGTACAAATAAACGTGGGCTCACTACTTGACAAGCAACAGGTCACTGTTGCCTTTTTTATCTAATGGGTTATGAAAGCTTATTAATGATTTATAAAAGTGTTAACAAGCTTATTAATAAACTAGTTATAAACCATTAAGAGATCATTTATAGGGGTAGTCCTATTGTAATGTGGTACCTCATTATTAGACTAAATTGGCTTCCCCTCAACATGTAAAACGTTTTAATCACACCCTCCATCTTGTTCTGACATATAGCATAGGAATTGAACAATTCATTGCTATTTAGTCCACAAAAAGCCCTCCATAATGCCAAATATATTCTTTCTTTCTTGTTTTGTGTAGTCTCTGACAGGCTCTTCTCTAACACATTTTTCTGACCTTGTGGACAAGTGAACTGACAGCATCTGACGGAGTCCCAGTACATGTCACTTCAATGAACTGACCTTTATGAGATGCAGACATCCGGGCTATCATGACGAGATATATGCACTGTGGTGGAAACTTTAGAGATGGAAAAGCTCAGACACAGTATTTTAGAATCTGACTAACAAGAATACTCACGCTGAAGCAGCTAATTGACAATATGACATGAAGGCACTATGGATTGATTTGATGGGGCCATTTTTTTTCTGCATGAGCATTTTGTTCCTAAGCTTACTCTTTTTTATATTTTCTGTGTCCCATGTCCCTACCCTACATCTCCCTTACAGCTTGTGTATCAGGCTTCTTTAAGGCTGCACAGGGAGACCACAAATGCCTGCAGTGCCCCATTAACAGCCGAACCACAAGTGATGGAGCAACAAATTGTGTCTGTCGCAACAGCTACTACCGCACTGACTCTGACCCTCTACAGATGCCCTGCACCAGTATGTATATACTAAACAGCAAAGAGCAACACATATGATTTGATGTGAACACCTATCCATCTCTGAAATGCACATAACAAACAAACATAACAAAAACATACAGTTTACATTTATATCAACATAGTTATCTTCTTCTTGAGACAATGGGCACAGAAATTGAGCTCTATGCTGATGTTCTATACATAGTGAGATACAGATCATTTCTATCATAAATCCTGTGTCCAATATGAATAGTGAGGGAGGTTATGTTACTGTAGTGGCTGTAAAGAGGGAAGACCAGACAGGAAGTAAAAATTCTAAGGTCCTAACTCTATCTCTAAGGCTAACCCTGCAAAGAATGCAAATGCAAACTAATTTCAGCTTCAGATGATGATTCACCAAATCTACCAGTCAATCTTGTTCCAGCATACCATTTGTGAACAAGATATTTGAAATCCCTCTCTTGGGACAGTGACTCACTCTTGATCTGAATGCCCCATTGACTGACAGAGAACCATGGTCATAGACTCGGAGGTGCTCACTTTCAGACAGCCCCTGTGCATAATGGAGGTCACAGCCTGATGTAGTTAGTAGAACCACATAATCTTGGGGCCACTATACCGAACACCCTCCACACCATAAAAATCACAAGTGGAAGAGGTGCGAGACACTCTCCAGTATCATTGCAAGGGTAAACAACTTGTCCAATGCTCCATGACCAGGGACCACATTGTTCATTATTATTATTATTATTATTATTATTATTATTATTATTATTATTTCTATCTAAATTTCAAACGTTTAAAAAAATATTAAGAAATAATAGTTAGTGATATGGATTTAAAAAATACAAATACAAAGTCGAGAGAAAGACTGACATGGATATCCTCTCTGGTCTTCTGTAGTAAACAGAAAAATGCTGTAAGAGCACCAACTGCAGAAACTTGAACTTCATCAGAGGAAAATCTGAGGGGAAAAAATAATCACAGTCTTGGATTGGCTGTTTGCAAAACAAAGTGCAACGAGATGCCAAGTAGATTTTTCAAGTATTGTTCCATATTTAGGGCAATGGGCACAAACCCAGAAGAAGCAGACAAATTAAGTGAATTACATTACCAGTATAATTAATTTTTTCCCCATCTCTTCCAGCTGTTCCATCAGCTCCACAAAATGTCATCTCCATAGTGAATGAGACCTCTCTGAGGCTGGATTGGAGCCCACCACAGGAGAGCGGTGGCCGAGAAGACGTTGTCTACAACATCATATGTAAGAGCTGTGGCAGTGGGCGGGGTGGCTGCACCCGCTGTGGAGACAATGTGCAGTTTGTCCCTCGTCAGCTGGGACTGACTGACACCCATGTCCACATCAGTGACCTCCTAGCTCACACCCAGTACACATTTGAAATACAAGCTGTCAATGGAGTATCTGACCAGAGTCCTTATTCACCACAGTACACCTCTGTCAACATCACCACCAACCAGGCTGGTGAGGCTAACCCTGCATTTTAAATTAGATGATGTTACTATAGTGACTGCTCAGTGATTCGATGAGTGATTGTTGATAGGTCCAAAAGGTTCTGTTTCAGTAGCCTGTCTGCCTTTCATTTTCTCTACTCTAACTTTGCAATCTTATTTTGTTCTCAGCACCATCAGCAGTGTCCATCATCCACCAGGTCAGTAGAACCCCTAACAGCATTACACTGTCCTGGTCCCAGCCTGATCAGCCCAATGGAGTTATCCTGGACTATGAACTGCAGTACTATGAGAAGGTACATCAGTGCTGATGATAAAAGTCAGGCCTTCCCCAAATTTCTTACTGCTCATTTATAGTTTTGATACTTTCAGACATCATTTGTCTGATTATTTTCTGACTTATCATTAGTGATGCATGTGTTTCAGAACCAGGCAGAGTGGAACTCATCTCTAACAAGGAGTCAGACCAACACTGCAGTCATACGAAGCTTGAAACCTGGAACGATCTATGCCTTTCAGGTTCGGGCTCGGACTGTTGCTGGATTTGGACGCTTTAGTGGCAAAATGTACTTCCAGACCATGACTGAAGGTAAGACTGACAATCAGCTAAATGTAAACAAATTTTTACCTAATATTGTTGTGGAGTTGAAGGAGCTATTTTGGGCGCCCCTGGTATCAGAAGTAAAAGTGCAATTCATGTGTCTCATAGACAGTGGCATGTCTATGAGACACATAGTGTAGCACTTCTACAGCTTGGATTTGCATGAAGCAATTGTATTAACTGCATTACAAAATATCTGGTTCTTTGATAGAAAGTCAAAGGTTCAAGCTCATGCACATAAAAGTGCTATTTGCCTTTTTGGTGTTTGGTTTTATTTGATACTCACCTCCTGTCTCATTCCACATCCCTGCACTTCGTGCCCTGCTGTGCTTCCCTCCTGTGTGATTACTTTACCCCACCCTAATGTGCTGCACCTGTGTGTCATTGTCTCCCTTGCCCCAGTGTATTTAGTTCAGTTTAGTTTCAGTACTCACTTTACTTTGTGCCAGTTCATCTTGTTCACTAGTGTCAGAGTTCAAGCCTTTTCCCCTATGTGTATGGTTGTATATTTCTAAGTAGAGACTGTGACTTTACCTGCTGAGTGTCTCGAGTTCTGCTTTTGGGTGCACTCTCTGTTTTCAGCTGTTACAGAATCGTCCAATCACTGAAAATTCTTTCAAGAACATTGAAAGGAAAAACTGAAATGGAAATACAGAAAGGGGGAAAACACTTCTGGAAACTTCCACCTCACTCATAGTCATTGATTGAGGCTGTATTTGAAAATTAGCCACATTTATCGGTTTTCTGTCTTTTCACCTGTAGAAGAATATAACTCCAGTATCCAGGAGAAACTCCCCCTCATCATTGGTTCTGCTGCTGCAGGGGTAGTCTTCATCATTGCCATCACTGTCTTCATAGTTGTCTGCCGCAGGTGAGCCAGTAATGTTACAGGTACAGATTACAGATATAATTGATTTCTTCTAAGTACCCAATAATAATAAAAAATAAGAAACATGGAACTTTTGCCTCTCCTTGAAACAGAGCTCAGTCACATCAGAATCTGCTCATGTGCACATCAGCAGGAGAAGTTCATGGAAAGGGCATATAATACACTTTACCACAAATCCCCATCATAAATAAAATTGCACTTTGTTGTTTTATTCACATATTCTTGGTGCACATCTTTTTGAACAGTCACAACATGGCACAACCAAAATACCAAGCAAGAAAAAAACTGCGTCACACAGAAATTCTTCTTTACTGTGTCAAACCTGTACACTGTTCAACTGTCATAAAAAGAATCCCAAATCAAGGACTGAGCTTCATCCATATCACATGGGCTTCATTGGTGGATGGAGTTGCCCATTTCATGGATCTGTTGAAATGCAAGCCTCTTTGTGTTTGTCCTCAGCAGGAGAAGTTCAGACAGACCAGAATCAGAGTACACAGACAAACTCCAACATTACACCAGTGGTCACAGTAAGTACTTTAACCTGAACAGTGTGTTGTAATCAGACAGCACTGAAGTTTTATTGTGTGTAAATGAAATGCAGGATCGTTTTGCTCCGCATTCATGTGACAGTTGTTGTTTGTATAGCCGCTGCTGTCTCTTCTCTCTGTTGAAGTGTCACCAGGAATGAAGATCTACATTGACCCCTTCACTTATGAAGACCCCAATGAAGCAGTCAGAGAGTTTGCGAAGGAGATCGACATTTCCTGTGTCAAGATTGAACAAGTGATTGGTGCAGGTAAAGGAAAACAATGCATGAAAAGGAAATTATGTCAGGTATCAGAGAAGGCAGGTGAGGGTTGGGATGTTTTTAATTGGCCTGTTGGAACTCTTCAGCAGATCTGAGGGCATGCCTTGCCAAATTCATGTAAAATTTCATATCACTGCCTGACATAATAAAAACGCAGTGTATGTATCATTCCTATTATGTCTTAGACTGATGGTTATAGTAGTGTAGTTTCTATGAATTTCATGATGTCTTTTTAAAACTAAAGCACTACGTACAATGTTTAGATTAATACATATAATTTGTTCAAAATGCCATTGACCATCCACTGATTGCTCCTGTCTTTCTGCCAGGTGAGTTTGGGGAGGTATGCAGTGGAAACCTCCGTCAACCTGGGAAGAGAGAGATCCTCGTGGCTATTAAGACACTGAAAGCAGGCTACACTGAACGCCAGAGGCGGGACTTCCTAAGTGAGGCATCAATCATGGGCCAATTCGACCATCCAAACATCATCCATCTGGAGGGCGTGGTGACCAAAAGCAGCCCTGTGATGATCATTACTGAGTTCATGGAGAACGGATCCCTCGACTCCTTCCTCAGGGTAAAAATTTGTGTGTCTGTACCCTAATATGCAAATTTAAAACTACTTACAATTTTGCTCTCTCAGGTTAGAGGCCAGAGGAAAGGATATATCGGGTCACAATAAACATTCTTCCTTTTGGGGCCATGACTCATTGTTAATTTCAGCTTTGAAAACTATGGCTTGTCACTGACAGCTGTTTCAAAATAATTGCAGTTATAAGCAATGATGCTGACCACAGATTACACGGAGATCTGATCATGTGCTTGATTTGTTGGAATTTGTGTACTATAACTATGTTACTATAGTAAGTAATGTTCATTCTTTTGCATTATTCATCACAAAGTAAAAACACTAATTTGGTGTTTTGTTCCTAAAGCAAAATGATGGGCAGTTCACAGTGATCCAGCTGGTGGGAATGCTGCGAGGTATAGCAGCTGGAATGAAGTACCTGTGTGACATGAACTACGTCCATCGAGACCTGGCAGCTAGGAACATCCTGGTCAACAGCAACCTGGTGTGCAAGGTGTCTGACTTCGGCCTGTCACGCTTCCTTGAGGATGATACTTCAGACCCCACCTACACGAGTGCACTGGTGAGTCCTCATCACAGACCCCTAGCTCACCATTAGGAGTGGTGGACCTCCTAAATGGCACTAAATGTTCATGGCAACATTGGCCAGTTAATGAGAACTTTTCACAAAGCTGCCAGAAAATGGAGTGGGGTTGACCCTGTTTCTATGGATGACAACACTTATTTTTGACTTAATTCACAGACAATAGTTGACAAGTGAATGGTTTGTGTCATTGGATGTGGAATCAAGTGTAGGAGCGTGAAAAAGAACCTGATTGGATTAGATTACATAAAAAAAAAAAAGAATTATCAATTAAAATACACACTTCAGAAATTAATTAAATTGAATTTTATTAAAATCATGTTATAAATCATTATGAATAAAGTTACATTAGTGAGAGTTTAGAGTCAAAACAGGAAATCAAACAAATGAAAAAATGGGTTGGCCAATATGTCAGAAGGTTTCTAAAAAAGGATCAGTAATGGAACGACACCAGTCTTTGTCTTTCAGTGGGACTGATTCCCCATTAAAAATTTCCTCAGTTATTCTAGTTACATCCATCCATCCATTGTGTCACTGTGGTAACAGGTCAAGCAAAGTAGTTCAGTTTTCCTTCTTGACATTCACAGGCCAAATGAGATATGTACGGTTCGGGAGCAACAGTTCTACTCTGAGCTCTCTCCAGAAATCAGAGCTCCTCACCCTGTCTCCAAGGCTGACCTGGTAGTGACTGAAAGAATAAGATGATGGCTGGGCATTTCAGTAGCTCATATCTGCGTTCTCTATTAAACAAAATTAGACAACCACAGTAGTCAACTCACCCATTTCATTGTCCCTCTCTATGTGTGGTCCAGGTCTGTCATATGATGCGCTGCAGCGCTGCAGGGGCAGTGTTTTTTCAGCTTCCTGTGTGAAATTGACAGTCAACATTGTTTCTTTTAACAATGACTACAATCATTCTATAACCATAACCTTATTATTGTAACCATGACAACGAAGATCATTTAACCTGAACAAGCCATAATTCCCTAAGCCTGAAACAAACCGAACATTCACAGCAGCCTTGGCGTGATTATTTATTTTTTAGTAGTGATATATCTCCTGCCACTGGTAGAGGCACAATGCCCCTATGGTTTGTTGAGGGTAGGGACAAACAGCCTATAAGACCCTTTATGTTGGAGGATTTGCTCTCAGTCCACAGTACCACTGTTGACCTCCATGCTTGTTTTTCCAGGGAGGAAAGATTCCCATCCGGTGGACGGCTCCAGAGGCCATCCAGTACAGGAAGTTCACCTCCTCCAGTGATTGCTGGAGCTATGGCATTGTCATGTGGGAGGTGATGTCATATGGAGAGAGGCCGTACTGGGACATGAGTAATCAAGATGTGAGTAAAGCCCTGTAGTACAGTATTTAAGTACATATCACAGAACTGTCAAAGAAAGGTGAGATGGTTTGATGTGTTGATGTTTGTGTGTACAATTACAGTTACCATTTAGACTATTCTGACTGCATAGGTTGAGGAGCTTTAAATTATTGGCAGAAGAAACTGGTACAGACTCAACACTGGTTTTGTAATCAACCAGGCCAGGCCACGAAGGTGCATTCAGACAGTGAGCAGTAACCACAGCATTTGCTGATGAATTAAAAAAAGAAATTAAATGTAGTTTATTTAGTAAGTAGTAGTAAATCAATTAAATGTTTAGTTTTCAGATAATAAATAAATAAATAAATAAGTAAAAATACATTTTAACAAAATTAAATCTAAAAAGTTATATTAGATTAAAATGAATTACATAAATAAATCAAATAATTACATTTTTTAAATTTCAATTAAATTAAATTAAATTTGAAATGAAATGAAATGAAAAAACACAGAGTAGATGACCCATGATCCTGCTGGAGATGATGCATAGTGTGGTTTATCTCAAATGCCAACAATCAAATAGTGGTTTCAATTCATTTGTGTTTTTTCTTCTGTCTTACCTGTTAATTGCAGTTCTGTACTGAAACAAGTTCTTGTAGTCATGTTCTCATATACTTGTCATTAGTTTTCATATCAATTTTGTAGGTCATCAATGCCATAGAGCAGGACTACAGGTTACCCCCCCCTATGGATTGTCCTAGTGCATTGCATCAGCTGATGCTGGATTGCTGGCAAAAAGACCGGAACAACCGGCCCAAATTCAGCCAGATTGTCAGCACTTTAGACAAGATGATCCGCAACCCTAACAGCCTCAAGGCCATGACACCACTGTCATCAAGGTATGGCAGGACCTCCATCACTTAAAACTGTGAATGGCCCTTACAAACCAACCTTCTCACAGGCTGTTGTGTTCTTCTTTTGTCTTCTTTCTGTCCACCAGTGTTCACCTACCTCTGCTTGATCGCAGCACTCCAGACTTCTCCTCTTTCAGCACAGTGGATGAGTGGCTGGATGCCATTAAGATGGGCCAGTACAAGGAGAGCTTTGCCAACGAAGGCTTCACCAGCTTTGATGTGGTGTCTCAAATGACCATGGAGTATGTTAGATATGCTTGAAATATTCACACTGATCATTATTTCTTACTTAATTGTCATTTAAAACATAAACCAGGACTCCTAGTTTGTAATTGAATGTCTATTTTTGAATATGTCTGTTAAGGGCAGTTTTAATTGAGGGAAGGGAAGACAAAATAGATATGTTTTGACATAATGTATATTTGTTAGGTACCAAGAGAAATTAACATGTAATACAGGGGCAGAGCTTGAAAAATATCTGTGTTGTAACAGTAATGTCAGTATTGATAGAGATATATTTAATTATAATTACACAGTTACTGTAAATATAGTTTTCCTCGTGGACTTAACAGGCACTCAAGGATTTGGTTCCCACAAAGTCCCTAATCATCATCTTCATCATTTTGGGGGAATTTATGTTTTCATTTTTGTTGTTCATGCTGAATATGAACAGGCTGAGTCATCTGGATTTGTCATAATCCGGTTGATTTTGGTCTGTCTATGGACTGAGGATCCTTAGGTGAATGTTTAATGCTGATTGTTTTTTTCAGCTCATGTAAAGGGAAAAGTTATGCTCATTCTGCCCGGATCTGTGATGAACTGTGTAGCCGACCTGCAGGTCAGACATAATTAGCCATTATCAACAGTGTTGTGCCAGTTCACACTTAAAAAAAAAAGTTCAAAGTTCAGTTCATACAGATGAAAATGAACTAGTTCACGTTGATAGTTCATTTTTTTAAATTTTGAACTAAGTTCACAGTTCCAAAAATGAGCTAGTGCACGTTCATTTGTTCAGTTTTCTTTTAAATAAATAAAGGCCAATATTCTTTTTCAATAGAACCTCCTTCTACCCATCCATCACCAGCCCCAAATCATTGCCACTCCCAAACTAAATGAATTATTATACACCACTGAAGAGTCACAGACATGAGTTACATTTAAAATATAAATATAAATATAATCTGTCTGAGTCTTCACTTGTTTGTTCATAAAACTGCTTCATTTGTTCAAATAAACTGGCTTCAGCAGTATTAGATGCAGTACTGCTGGCACCAGCCAAGCTGGGCCGTGTTTATGGAGACGTCATGCAGCATGTCGTAAAACGTGAGCTAAAACTGTCGTACAACATTCATTTGTAAACTGATTCGTTCAGTTCAGCGTGAATGCTGTTCATAGAACACGTTCATGCACAACACTGATTTTCAGTAGCGTAAATCATGAATATACTTTGAAATGAGTTGCAGGGTCAGAAAGTTCAGTTTATTTCCATGGAAACACATGAGATCTTTAAGTCCTGTCTCATAGTGCTTTTCATCTTCTTACAGTCCAGCAGCTTTGCAGACTTGGTAGAACAAGGAATAGGTTACTAGATATGTAAAAACCTTATAAAATGCCATTTAGACTTGTATTTCAGCATCCAGAAAACAGGGGGTCTTAAAGGGGGTCAAGTTTTACTCTAGTTTTATTCATCTTGAGGTGGAACTGACTAATGGTTTCTCTTCAGGGACATCCTCAGAGTGGGAGTGACATTAGCCGGCCACCAGAAAAAAATCCTCAACAGCATCCAATCCATGAGGGCCCAGATGAACCAGATCACTTCAGTGGAAGTGTGATTTCACAGACCAGGAACACACAGGCTCTGATTACTGCAGGAAACCCAGCAGCCACCAACTCTGCATTCTCCTGGAACCTCTGAAGAAAGCTGATGACCTGCACACAGACTGACTTCAATCCAACCTCAGCTCACTGTCCCACCCTCCCTCCAAATTCTTCCCAGAAGGTTCCATCAGTCTGCAGCACAGCACAGATGTTCTGTGTTTTCTTGTAGCTGTTTCATGTCCAGGTAACAGTTATGCTTGTGGGTTTGATGTTGTACTTTACAGTCATCTAGACCCAGTCTTCAAACTGTTCAGTCCATGTCTATTTAATGAGACGCCTTGTTATTTTAATTAATTTTATTAAATGGTAACACAGCACAGTTGGCTTCACTGCCACCAAGTTGAAACATTCAGTAAGAAATCAAGTTTCCAAACTTGCCCTCACACTTGATGCACAAGACTCACTATTGAAAATGAATAAGAGTGAATGAAAGTAGTGGTAGAATTCTATTAAAAGCCCGCAACAAAATACATGACATTATTAGCTGGCAGCACCCATTGTTTTCAGTGAAGCATGTGAAGCACTGACACGGCTGACTACTGCTCTGTTACACAGTGATAATGGTCTTCTAGATTTTCACTGTGAGGTAACAGGCACAGCTGGTGCCCTGGCTGTTTTAATTAGTTATAGTTTAAATAACTTAAAACAACCTAACTTACCTACCTTACCTTAACCTAAGAAGTGATAGTTCAGGTCATATGATGTGGGGTTGTTTGAGGTACTCATGCATAGTCTTCAGATTCAGATCAGCATCCTCTCAGTTTTAGAGAAGTAGCAGGGAGCTGAGTGATGTTCTGCTGTGGACGGGCTCAGCAGACAAAATCTGTTTTATCCACTTAAAAAATACCTATGGAAAAAAGCCAATATCTGTGTGTTTGCTATTTTTGGAATATTTTCACCGTTTTAGCTGCCCTCAAACAACACTTTGGGATGACATATTCTCAACCGCTAAACTACTGTATTCCTACACACAAGCTCACTGTGGTTTCACTGTCCTATTTACTGTGGAGTAGAGAGTTACTGTAAAGTCTGGCTCACGGGCTTAAAGTAATATGTTTCATGTTTTTTGGGAGTAATAAGTGTCAAGGTGAAAACACAGTCATCATATTGTACATATCATTGCTTGATTTTGGCATACACTGCCCCAAAAAAGCTGACTGATGTTGATTACAGTTATTACAACTCCCCAACTAATGTGCAATCTTTATTAGTTTATATGCTACTTGATTTTAAGAAACTATAACTGTAAACTATAATAGTACCCCAACTTCCTTGCTCAGTTGTTGCTGTTTTAAAACACAATACAGATTGCATTGCAATCACCAAAGAAAAAATATGTCAATTATCTGTATCTCACCTAATGCCCAAACTGGAGGAAAGATTTGTGTCTGTTGAATCACTCGCTGCACATTTATTACACTCAACAACAAAGCATAGCCTTTAGCATTAGCAAAATTTCTGTGTTCCTCTTTTTAATTGGGACTACCACCACAACCTAAACTAGACAATTTGTCTGTATGAGATCTGTAACTCCTCATTATGAGAAGGCAAATTTCTTATTTTTTGTAAAAATTCAATATTTTCTCATAATTATGTCATACAGGTATCACAATCAAAAAAATGTATGTTATATGTTGTTGTAGTCCCATCAATGAAGAGGGGGCACACACAGGGTACTGAACTTGCAGTCAGTGGTTCAAACATATGCATCTGTCCCGCTTGATATGAAATAATGTCTCCGTACGGTCCATAAAGAGCTTTAAGTTGTGCTAAGACTAAATTTGGGATTTTGTTGCTGTTATGCAATTTAAAAAGCAACTCCAAAATATTGCTACCAGCACAGCTGGTTGTGATCAGGTGCAGTCTGCTGTATTCATGACAACATTCATCTGTGATGTATCATTGCACAGATGTATCATACAGTCAGCAGTGTTTTCCTGCACAGAGTCTGGTCCTGTAGCAACCACTAGTTGCTGGCACTAGCAGAATTTTGGCCAGTGTTCAGTTACTCTAAACAAAAGCTGGTAGTGGAACTTTACAGTGTTACCATGTTACCTTCTGTTTGTATGTCATTTTATGGTTGGGTTACAGAACATGAGCCCAAGGTGTATACATGTGAAGGTGTTATACAAGATTCACTTTCCAAGAGCCTCAACATACATTCACTTTTGGGGGTGGGGTGGGGGGGTCATAATTTTGTTTTTGTTTGGTTGTTTTTCTTGTGAGGACAGTGTGACATCTCAAGAAAGAAGGCATCATGACCAAAATCAAAATGAGTGTTTATCCTCTCAGGTTTTTTTGGGGGAAATACAGGTCATGTGCTCCATCTTGACACCATAAAGTATGAACCCTCTGACTATGCTCTGATTATCTGTCCAAGTGCATATTCCCTTTATGGTTTAAGATGGTCCAGCTGAGTTTCAGAAACCACTTTGGGTGGAAAACATGATTTGTAAACTTCACAGGAACAGTAGACTCTCAGAACTCTATTTTGTTTTTGTTTTTTTTAAATGTGAATTTTGATAAAACTGTGTTTTTTATAAATGTTAGAAGAATAATTTATACTTCACAGTACAGAAAAGTGAATTCTCACCTTGTAATGTCTGAGCCTTTTTTTTTGGTATTAGGGCATTTGGCAAATTAAACCTCTTCCTTCAACTGTACCAGCACAAGGCACAGGTTTATCCATTCACTGTTAATGTATTGTATGTACATGAGTCCTTAATGACCTCAAAACCCTTTTAGCTTGGTCTTGTTTGTAAATGGTAAGGGTGTCCTCAATTCATATAAGGTCATCCTTATTTTGTGATAGCCTCCAATAGCACCCCAAAGGTCTTCCCAGCTAACAGGTTAAATAGTCAGGAATGTCAGTTCTTCTTTATGGTCTGCTCACGAAATCACAGTTAAACAAAAACAAAAAACAAAAACAAAAAGAACATGTAGTGCAGGTTTGAACTTTCATTGTTGCTGATTTTATGTTTTACTCACACTGGCTGGATAGCCCTGCACTTTACCTCTGTCTTATTTTTACATGTAAGTGCACACTGAGGTCATAAGCTGGAGTTTGAAGAAATTTACTTTACTTGTACAATCTGTACTGGTGCATGCTTGAACATATGCTATATGTTTCATGAACTGTACAAGACTAGCTCATCTCAAAAGCACATTAGACACTACACACACAGGGAGTGTGCATGTGCGTGTGCTAGTGTCGTTTTGCAATTTTCATGGCTGCAGTCTAAAAAACATGCTTCACATCTCTCATTTGAAGCTTTTCCAACAACTGATTTTTTTCACATTCTCCTTTTATCTTTGATATTTAATAAATGTTGTTCAGTCAGATTTTCAATACCAGTCTGCACTATTTTATCGTACGTGTGTGTGCATATATGTGCATTATTATAATAATTCTCCTATATGTTTTACAGACACACAGACAGTGCACTGTACTACACATGTGCATGGTATGCACATTTCAGTGTTTTGGCACATTGGGCCCTGGCAACACATCCAGGCTGTCTGTTAAAACCACACCGAGACTCTTCAGAGAAAAACAGTATGGTTCCAGTGTGTTTTCTTTTTAATTATTCAAAAGCCTATCTCACAAATGTGAGCATAGGCCAGGATGATAATATTTGTGCTCTTCTTAATAAATGAAACAGAAAAATTTCTAGAAACACCCTTCATCTTAAACGTTCTCTTAATGTGTAAGAGCAATGAGGTTTCCTGGAGTAATGTGATTGGAGACCTCAGTGGATAGCTGTTGCATGTCATCCTTATTTTTCTGAATGTCTACAATCAACTAGCCTAAAATAACATCACAAAAAGTAAGATTTAATCATAAAATTACAAATTCATTTTGGAGCAATCAAGGAACTTGAGTGAATATGTGTGAATATAAGTTGTTTTATGAGGAAAATTTTCACATTAAATGACTGGATTACTCTGTAAATCTATATTAACTATTTTGCAGCGAGATGTGAAATACTGAAATGAGATACTGAAAGATATATTTACTCCTAACAGTGATATATTTATTACACTTGATATCATTTCTTTTTTATTATTAAATAATGTGACTTTAGAGCTGAAGTACGGATTCAGTTGTCTTACCTCTTTATGCGGGGTTATACACAAACAGAGGATAGAAATTGCCTCACCTGAATATGAAAGAGTTTAACTGTGAACATTCTGTTTTGTAAATGTTTGTGTGTGTGTGTGTGTGTGCCGTGCTCCATATGGCTCATGTTTGAACTGCACTATACCAGCTTCTTAGCATTCACATAGAGCTGAAATGTCCTGGTTCTGATGCTACATTTCCTTTTCATGTTCCCAGTGTTGAAAATGTTTAAATTCTACACATACACAAAGAAAAGTTTGTTTGTTTTTGTTTTTTCTGGGAGTGAGAAATAGAACAAAAGGCCATTATGTTGTATCTATGTTTGAGTACAGAGCAGGAATTAGAGCCTAACTTAGTGTAAAGACCGGAATGAGGGGAAAACATCTAACAGATAACCGCTTGTGTCAAAGTTCCAAAACACATCAAAACCTCTTTAGCTCACTAATCAACACATGGTATACAGTATCATTTGTTTAGGAAAACAGAAAAATAAGTATTAACTGAACCTATTTAGTCTGAGATCATGTGGCCTTACACATTTAAGGTCATTTAGAAACCATCTACATTACATAGGGACATATTTATTTGTAAAAACAAATATTTGCCAATATACCCATATGAGACAGTTTAACTTATTTCAAAACAGTATTGATCCTAAAACTCTAGTATCTGTAGTACCAACAGTGCATTTGTGTCTGTGTGGATTAAGCTAACAATGCAATATGTATGAGCTTTCAGGTGTTGTGTGGATTTTGATCAGTAGTGGGGTATTGAAGTTATTTTTACCTTGTGTTTGTGTTGCCATGGCAAAATGTGGTCCTGGAGACACCTACT